TGCGCACCCAGGATTGGCCGAGGGCGACGGCGACAGTTCGTCGTACTACTCCAGCGGTGGCGAGGAAGAAATGGAGGAGGCCCCGCTGACCATGGAGCACCACCTGCGGATAGCAGAGATGTGGGTCGCCAACCCTTTCACGAGCCATCACTGGACCCATGGATGTGGTGGAGTGCTGTAAGTTCTAGTCCCTCTCCTTTGTTCTTTCTTCCAATTTGGGGGCTAGGGTTAGTGTTGGGTTAGTGGTACTGAAAATGTCTAAATTTGCTGCCTTGTAGTGTGGATGATGCTATATGGGATGTTAGGATTCACTTTGATGCCCTACATAATTTGGATAGGAAGATTTGCAGTTCGGATGTCACTTTTCTGAATCTGTATGCACTATTGCATACACAAGGATTTACATTCTCTGATGAATTGTATCACATGGAGAACACATGCATAGGAGAGCAGAGAGAGCATGGCCTAGACTTGATTGACACAAACATTAAATTGCAGCAAGTTAAGAAGCAGCATGATCATACACTAGTTCTGAATCTGTTAGTTAGAGCAACAGCCACTGACAGTGCTGCTAGTCTGAGAAATGCTAAACTGCAAACCATTATTTATGCACCACTAGTTGTGTATGATCTCAGTGAGCCAGATGTGCTTGCTGTTGATGACCAAGGGGTTGTTTTTCATAGTCAGTGCAGTAGCAGTACCAATGTTGAAGCTGGTGGTTTTTGCACACAAGAGAGCAAAAACCTAGGTAAACAAAAGCTGAAAGTTGTGATGGAGGATGAAGTTTTGTTGGAGGAGGGATATTACAGTAGTGATAATTCAGAAGGGGCATATGACAGTGACAACTACATGGAGAAGTACAGGATTTCTCAAGACACAGAGATAATAGATGGAAAGAGACAAGCAGATAAGGAACAACTAGCAGATGATGAAGATGGATATCCAGATGATGATTTAGAAGAGGGGGGAACAACTGCATTATGAGGGTGACGCTAAGGTTGAGGATCTGTTTGAGATGGAGGAGGGGGAGGAGGAAGAGAGGGGGGATGAAGAGATGGAGGAGAGTGTGAATGTGGAGTTAGCTCCACAGTTACAGGTAGAACCTCCAAAGAAGAGGCAGAAGCTGAAAATTAGGAGGTGCCCCACCACTAGAACACATTCTAGTGTTGTAAAGGAGGTGAAGCCAGATTTCACTCCTTCATCAGATGAAGAAGAAACTGGTTGGCTGCAGGATAGTGAAGATGATGGGCATGAGCCACTGCAATTTGTCCTAAAGAAAAGCAAGAAGAGTATGGCACAGAAAAGAAAACCTAGGATATGGTTCAATGAGAAAATGGAGCACCCACACCAGCAATTATGTAAGTACATGTGCTTCAAAAATCAGCAGCAATTCAGAGATGTTCTGTTGAGCTTGCACATTTCACAGTCAAGAGATTTCATATATCATAGAAACTCTGACCAAAGGATCATTGCATGTTGCAAAAATGAGCACTGTCATTTCTACATTATTGCTATTGTGATCAAAGGTGAAAAGACTTTTGCTATAAAAAAATGAACCTGCAACACACTTGCCCTACCACTACAGAGTCATCAAGGGTTAGTGCAAAGTGGCTTGCAAAGACATATGAGCCATTGTTCAGGTCTGATCCAACCACTAGCATACAAACTCTGATTGATGCCTACAATGAGAAGTATGGTGTTGAGGTTCCTAAGCACATGGCCTATAGGGCCAAAAACCTTGTTGTGGAAGCTGTCTTAGGAGAGCACAAGAAGCAGTATCCCAGGCTAAGGGACTATGCAGCAACCATCATGCAGACAAACCCTGGAAGTAGGGTTGTAGTTACAACTCTAGTTCCTAAAGCAATAAAAAAAGTACCACATCCAGGGCCAAGGTTTCATGCAATGTTTTTCTGCTTAAATGGAGCAAGGGAGGGATTTCTCAATGGATGCAGACCTTTCATTGGTTAGTTAGTTGTTTCTTTGCTTTATTTTCTCTAAAAAAATCTTTAGTTTATTTGCTATGTACTGACTTAATTGGTTCTTTCTTTTTGCAAAACAGGTGTTGATGGATACTTTATTAAGCTGACCACAGGTGCACAGATCCTTGCTGCCACTGGCAGAGATGGAAATAACAACATTTTTTCAATTGCATTTGCCATTGTTGGTCAGGAGGATACAGCTAATTGGTGCTGGTTTCTGCACCAACTGAAGATATGTCTAGGAGGAGAAGCTGGCCAATTTGGTCCTTATACTATCATGTCAGATAGATAGAAGGTAAGTACATAGTTTGTTGTGTGATTTCAGTAGCATAGTTTGTTGTCTATCTTCAACTATATATGTAGTCAGTAGCTTAGTCTGCTGTGTAATTTCAACAGGGCCTACTCAATGCAGTGAATATAGTCTTTCCAAACTGCCACCAGAGATATTGTCTTAGACACTTGTATACAAATTTCCAGAATGCTGGTTTTAGGGGGGAAGATCTAAAGAAATGCATGGATAATGCCAGCTATGCTTACAATGAACATAAGTTTAATATTGCTATGAATGATTTGAAAAATGAGTGTGAGGCTGCTTGGATCTGGCTTAATGCAATTCCTAAGAAAACATGGGCTAGGCATGCTTTTGACACTAACTACAAGACAGATTTGGTTGTTAACAACCTATCTGAGGTGTTCAACAAGTATATCCTTGATTTTAGGAAAAAGCCTATTAGGACTATGGTTGATGGTATTAAGGACAAGCAAATGGTGAGGTGGCATAGGAATAGAGAGAGAGAGGAAAGGCAGCTTTCTGGGAGATCACACCACATTATGCTGAGAAGCTAGAGCTGGAAAAGGAGAGGGCCAGATATTGCAAACCCATTCAAGCTGGTGTTAATTTATGGAAAATGACTAGTGGGCAGCAAACACACCCTGTGAACTTGGATAATCATACATGTGGTTGCAGAAAATGGGACCTGGGTGGCATACCATGCAACCATGCAATTTCAGCAATTAACAAGGCCAAGAGGTTTCCACAGGACTTTGTTTTTAAATTCTTCAAAAACCCATTTTATGTGGCAGCATATTAACCTATGATCTTTCTTGTTCCTGGTGAACATGACTGGATAAGGACACCTGGACCAGACATAGAGCCACCAGAATTTCATGTTAGGAGAGGAAGAAAGAAAGAGAAGAGGATCAAGGGCAAGTTTGAAGTGCCCAAGCCAAAGGACAGCAGTAGAATGGCCACAATAACATGCTCTAACTGTGGTCTCCAAGGCCATAGATACACCAACTGCCTGAAACAATTGAAACCAGATTTGGCTATGAGGAAAAACAAGCATGTGGTAATAACAATCTCAACACTTTGTATTACTTGACTAGTGCATTTGTTAATATTTTTATGTTGACTACTAATACCAATCTCACTTCTTATTGCAAGACACCTGCAAGATCACAGCAGTAGCCTCCACCTGCAAGATCACAGCAGCAACCTACATCTGTAAGATCACAGCAGCAGCCTCCAGCTGCAAGATCACAGCCTCCACCTGCAAGATCTGGTGCAAGGTCTGGTGCAAGAACTGGTGCAAGGTCACAACCATCAACTAGTGGTGCAAGGCCATTCACTGCCCCAAGATATGCAACTCCTTCTACATCTTCTGCACCAAGAAGTCACACTGGTTGGATGACCTGGTTTGGTGCCAGTGGTAACAATTGAGTGTCATGAGCTGTTGTTTCTCAAAACAATGTAATATTCAATGTTTTGTGTCCTGAACCATGGCTGGATGCTTAGGTTTGACTGTACTGAACCAACAAGTCAAACTGGTTGGATGCTTATGTTGGATGACTATGTTTGAGTGTACTGGATTGCTATCAACTATTGGCAATGTTATGCTATTGGCAATGTTATGCTATCAACTATCTTACCTGAGTTAATTTTAATGCTATTGGCAATGTTATGCTATCAATTTGGCAATGTTAAGGTTTGATGATGAGATTTGATGATTAGTGTTATTGGTAATGTTAAGGTTTGATGATGAGATTTGATGATTAGTGTTATTGACTAACCACTATGGATTAGGGGGTTCTCTCCGTCGACGGAGCCAAAATGACTAACCACTATGGGTTAGGGGGTTCTCTCCGTCGACGGAGCCAAAATGACTAACCATTATGGCTTAGGGGGTTCTCGACGTCGATGGAGCCAAAATGACTAACCACTATGGCTTAGGGGGTTCTCGATGTCGACGGAGCCCAAATGACTAACCACTATGGCTTAGGGGGTTCTCTCCGTCGACGGAGCCTA